TTATTTCTTAAATGTATTTTCCTTCTAGACATGGCTTTATCTCAGGGATCCTCTGAAGTTTTTGTTCAATTTCCCCCATAGCACAGATAATAAAAGCTGCATGATAATAGAGCAAGACGTGTGTGTTTCTCTGGTCCCACAACAGCTACCTGTTTTTGTTTTGATTTTCCAGGACTCACTAATTATTAAACCAACCTCACACTCAGAAAAAGTAATGGAATTTCACACTTTATGTTTACAGATCAAAGGTTAATCTTTAAACCAAGGTTTGTTGTCATTTGTTAAGCCTCTTGTTTTCTTAATATGACTGATTTCTTTCTCTTGCTATTCAAAGGACACACAAGATAATTGATTAGGAAATAGGTTTCTTCTACAACTAGTTTTATATCTTTGTTTAGTCATTCTTACCATCAAGAGCCCTGCAAAAGCCTTGACTCACAGGAATTTTTGCTGCCCCTTTTGTGCTTCCTTGTCTTCACCACAGATGATGCACAGTCTGCAGAAATAGCTTCTTAGCTATAAATAGAGCACTTCCCAAGTGTCCATTAAGAACAAAATTCATCACATTCTTGTGAATAAGGTGTGCAAATAATATTATATGCTACATTTCACCGTGAAAGAAGCCATCCCCTGTTTTTACCATTGCATTTCCTCAAGTTGTCTGCAATGAATTGGCTGGTTGGTTAGTAATATACTTTACTGATGCTGGGCAGTCTCCCAGGGTTAGTTGGTGAGGTCCAGCTCTTGTTTTATCTACTTGATTAGAAATTTCCAACTTAAGAAAATCATAATGACCACTCTGCCCCCCAGGCTTGAGAATTATCTTCAAGTTATCTGAAATCAGCATCTGGATTTAAAAATATTATTATTATTATTATCTCCTCCATTATCTCTCCCTGGACTGCAGTGAGGGTTGGTTGCCTGACTTACACTGAACTCCAAACTTGTAATGAGCCAATGTAGGTGACAGACATCTTATACACTTAACTACAGCACATTTGATGTCTGGCAGATCTAGAAACATTTTCTGAAGAAGGTAAAGTAACCTTAGTTAGAAATAATGCTAAAACTTGAGGGTCATAAAAATGGTGTTAGATATCTCATGTAGCAGTAAAATTATTTCATGGTGATATGAGAAACTGTATGAAACAAATACTGGACTGTATAAAGAAACATTAAAGGTTTGTTGAAGTAGCTTTGGTAGTTTAAAGAATGAGGTGAAAAGAGTCTTTTGATTTAACGTGTGGCTGTAATGGATTTCTCATCATAGTTTAAGACATGACCTGTTGTCACCAGTACTTTCTAGGGGCTTTCCTAGAAAAAGCTAAGGCCCCAGAAAAGTTTGAAGTGACCCATTTAAAACCATTCTGTTGCTTTGGGTTTTTTCCCAGTAATTTGTATAAAGCAAAACTCTGTAAAAATTCTGAAATGTCCATGTAAAGTTTGTGCTTCTCTCTGCCCCTGTGATTTTACCTCACATGGCCAAGCAGAATCCCATCTCCCAGAGTAGAGGGAGAGGTGGCATTGGCTTGGATGTTTTGTAACTGGTTTATAAAATAAGCTCTAAAGTCACCCTTTGATGAGGGGGAGATTTGAAATAGTCCATATGATTACAGTGCCATTTGCTGGCATGTTCCAAGGAACTGGTCACCAGTCTTACTGAAATATTTTTTTCTCAGTGGTATACACACAGTTCTTCCACTCATCTCTTTGGTAGCTTGTGCTCTTTGTTAATAAATAACAAGGTAATGCTTTGTCATGTAGAATCCTGTCCCCACTGAAATGCAAAGAAAAACTCACAGAGAATTCAGTGAAACAATCAGCTTGAGAATCTTTTTATTCTATGCTCTCCTTTGCTTGTTTAAATACTCCTAATTTCTGTGTTAGAAATGGACCATCTTTTTTACCAATGCTACAAACAGTACATGGCTTTTCTGTTCATAAACGAAAGTATGTTCTCCTATTTCCAAGGAAGATATTTTTGCATTTATTTCCCATGACCCATCCATTCATTTCTGAAAGAACAGCATCTTTCATTAAGACTCAAGATGATCAAATGGATTGGGACAAATTTGTATTTATTTTATACTGACAGAACCTTGGAGGTTCAAGACTAGGCCTACATATTCTAATGAAACTTCAGATATACAAAACCTGAAGTTGTACCATGGACTGAAATATAGTTGCTTGCCCATAGCAACTGAAACAGAATACTCTCACCCCTAGCAAAAGGTCCTTCTAAGAATTTGTTTTGTGGAAGTAATTATTTCTGAAAGCTAGAACTGAGAAGAATGGAAGTAGTTTTTAAGATACAACTGCCAGATGTGCTAAGTGGTCGGATAGGAACTACTGGACATGGGAGATTCCCAAGCCTTGTCATCACTGAGAGCCTTGCTCCCTGTAGTGCCCTTTCAGCAATTACTGTGAGATTGACAGTTACAATGAAAATGTAAAAAACAGTAAGATCTTAAAAATCTGGGGGGATGGGTGTCCCAGATTTGTGTCACTGCTGACAAAAAAGCTGCATCTCATTTGGGAACCTACACAGCATGCTGGTATGGCTGTCTCAGCCCCAGGAAGAGGGGTGACCTAAACCTGCATATTAAGAGAATATTACAATAATTTTGTTACAAGACAGAAAACTGCAGTGAGCCCTTTCATGCCCATTCTCACAGAGCTGCTTCTCTACATTGTATGTACAGAGGTGCAGGTATCTCATAGTCCCAAATGGACACAAGCAGCTTTGCCAAAAGCACTCACACAGCTGTGTCAAGTGTAAAGGTCTACTCAACACTGGCCAGAAGAACTGTAGGTTTGTTATGCAGATACCACTGGAGGATTTGCACTCCTCTCTGGACAGTATCTGTTCTCAGGTCAGTGTGTACAAGAGTGCAGAATGCCATCTTGAAAGAGCAGTTGGAAGAGAAATAAAAAAGGGAAATGAGATACAGGAAAAGCACAGTTTGAAAATAAACCTGGGAAGGGGCCTCACAGGATTGAGGAACTTTGTGGCTATTAAGGCACTGACTTCACTGGGAATAAGGCTGTGACTGAAGAATAACAGACCAATGAATGTTGGAAGGGACCTACAAAAGTCTCCAGTCTGACCTCCTGAATCAAGCAGATTGCATTGGAGCAGATTACACAGGGCCTTGCCCAGGCTGGGTTCTGACACCTTTAAGGATGGTGATTCTCTGGGTGCCTTTTTCAATGTCCAGCCATCCCCGTGGTAATTTTTTTTTCCTCACATTGAGTAGGAATTTGATATTGTAGCTTGCTTTCTTTATCATACACTACAGTAAGACTTGCCTGTCAAGTCTATTCTTCTTAAGAACAAATGTAGTTCTCTCATCTCTTCTCATGTGTCCTGTGCTCTGGTCCCCTGACCAGCTTGGTGGCCCTGCATGAATTCACCTCAGTGTGTCCTTGTCTGTCTTGTACTAGGAGCCCAGAAGAGGCCACAACCCTGCAGGCATGTCTCACAAACAGGATGACAAAGAGCCATTTGCTCCAGTCTGCTGGCTGCACTCCTGCTGATACAGTCCAGCCTTTGATTGAGCAGGGTGCACTTCTGATCTACTCATTTATTTAGGTTGAAGTTCTGAGTTAGGAACATTGGGACTTTTTCTGCAAAGTCAGTTTTTAAGGTAGCAAGTTTTTGTCCAGCTTGTCCTGCTGCATGGGCTTTTTCCATCACAGACATGGGGCTTTTCATCTGACTTCATTCTACTCCCTGGGCTTTCTCCCAGCCCAGTTTTCCAGCATGTCCAGCAGTGTATTGACTGTTCTCCTCAGTCAAGTGTTGTGTGCAGACTTGCAGAGGGCATAAAGGAGCGGTGTGCCAGAATTCCTTGAAGTAGGTAACTTTGTCTCTCTGGAAAGTCTTCGTGTCTGGTGTGCAGGATGTGATGAGTTGCAAGCACAAACAGCTTCATGTTTTGAGCTTATAAACAACTGGCAAAAATAACTCAAGGTCACTGCAGGTAGTTCTTTCCTGCAGAGTGAAGTCAGTACCACTTTATCACGAGTCCATCACTGGATACAGTGTTGGAGGACAAAAATTTCAAAAATTCTACACTTTGGACTGTGTTCCAGGATGGATCACACTGAAGTGTATGGACTGGGTGGGGGAAGTGGTGTATCATACATCTGAGACAGCTCAGCCATCTGAGGCAGTCTTTAACTGTAGAATTAGTTTTCACAATCTTAGTATAGAAGAGGAGTTTATTTTCCTTTAGCTGGTCTCTCCATCACATGATTTCCAATCTGATGTTGCAGATGCATGATTTGTGTAACATGTTCAGACTATTCATTTTAGTGTTCATAGTTTCATTTTTGCTATCTGTTGGTTTTATTCACCAAGATTTTAACCCTTGGGATGTTGCCAGAACTGCCACTGTATGTTCACAGCCACACTTCTCAGTAGTTTCTTTCCTTTGGTGGAAGATTGTAGGAGGCCAGTAGCAATTCCCAAATCCTTAAAAAGTGATTAGCAATTATTGTTCTCTAAGTGCTTAATAGGGAGATTAAGACAGGCCACCAGGTGTTTACACAATAACACTTGGTAGCGTGGAAATTCAGCTCTCACTATTACAATGCATAAGGAGGGTAAATACCTGCCCTTGGAAAAACCAGCAATTATTTTGATGCTTGTATTACACCTCATTTTCTCCACTAGATCGTGCAGTTCTGCTATTTCTTAACTTTTCATTCCCTGATAGGGATTTGTCTGTGTTTATAGTAGCGGGATGGATCTGTAACCACGAGATCGGTTTCTGTTAAAAGTGTTTTTCTTGCACAATCACTTGGCTGCAAAGCTGCATTTTTAGTCCATCCCTTTGTATCTAACATGGCATATTTGTATACAGCAACAATGGAAGGGAGCTATGCTTCACACTGAAGGTTTGAAATAAATGATAGTGAAATAGCTTAGGAACAGCACAAATGCTCTTCTGTAACAAATCGTATCATTCACGGTGTCTCTTTTTTTTCTGTTGCAGGAGGTTGGAAGCATTATCGGAAAGGTCAGAAAATAACTTTATATTCATGTCAAACTATTGTATATCATTTCTCTTGTCTTAGCCCAGGCTAACGGGGTTTTTTTTTGCTTCTTTAACAGAAAGGTGAGACAGTGAAGAAGATGAGGGAGGAGGTAAGACAAGCTTTGATGTCTTCACTTGCTTCCTTTCCAGCTCAGAAACAGCGAGTTCAGCATGTGCAGACCGATGCTGCCATCAAGTGGGCCGATTGTTCAACATCCCTGTTCTTTGCAAGCACTGGGGTATAAATATGCTGGCCTAAATTAAACATTGTTTTTAATGTAACCTCCTTATCGCTGCAGCAGTCTGGAGTCTTTCATTCCCCTAGCGATGTGCCTGCTGCTGCCTTATCTCAAAACAGCTCACAGCATGGTTCTGTGCATCAGACCCACTGTATCTTTCATTAGCATATCAACATCAGTCCTGCACATGGCTTGGCCTCCTGGTAGAGTTTCCAGAATTCTGAAACTCAATGTTAGACTGACACACGTCAAGTTTGAGGGTAGATACAAGCTTCAGCAGAGCTGGAGCCAGATGTGTACAAGCCAGAGCATCTCTCAGCCATGTCTTGGCAAAGCCTTAGCTTTTCCTCATTTTGCAGCTGTGAGTAGGATGTGGGCAGAGTAGACCTGCACACCTACCATTCCAATCCTTTGAAAAGGCTAAAGACAAATAGGATTAAAACAGGGCACTGCATAAATCTCAGTCTCCCCAGTGTCTGCAGGCTTCTTTCCCTGCCACAGAGCAAGCTGTGCTATCTTCAGAGGAGTGTGCTCAGGTGGAAGCTGCCGACCCACACTGGTCCTGCAAGGCAGCACATCCTACCTGGAGATCCATGTAATTTTTCTGCTTTGAAGCCACCGCTAAAAGTATAAATCAGAAGAGAAATCCTACTGTTTTAAACTATAGGAGTGCAGTGTAAAGAGGATGCCTCCAGGAAAGTCAGTTTGGCTCCAGTAAAGCTGCAGTACATTACTGTCAACTGCTTTGTTGTTTTCTACTCTGATAGAAGGTCTGTGGCAGGGAAATGTCAAAGTATTTTAGTAAAGAAAATTGTAGACATCCGTCTTTAAATATACACAACAGGGATTTCATTGTCAGGCTGACGGAGTTCTGAGCTCCTTTTTTGATGACATGTTTTCACCCATATTTTCACCCATTTGCTAAGACTTAAAGGAAAAAATATAAGAAAATTTTTTTGCAGTGTACTAGGTAAACTTAATTAAACACATTTTAGTGTAATTATTAATTATGATCATGAGCGTATATCTTTGTACATAAATTGTATGCACAGAAGGGTAGCCATCATTGGAGAGTGCTCCTGACTTCTTAGTAAAACAACTTAGAGAATACCTATGATGCTTGGTCTGTCTTTCAAGATAAATATCAAATGTTCTTCCAATCTTGCAACTCTGCTGTCATGGATCCGTGGTCAGAAGACACTTTATCTTTTTGGGGTTTTTTTTTTAATAATGGAATTGTACGCATCTTTATATCAGCACAGGACTGAGAGGCTGTATCTCCATATGATGATAATTTGGTCACTCTTTAAATTACTACCTTTTTCAGTACTTCTTTGAAAGCAAAATGCAGCTTTTGTTTTGACTTCCCTGGCAGATGTGGCAGCGTGCACTCCATCTTTATGGTGTGAAATGTAGCTCTGTCTTTGGGGAAATGTCAGAGACAATTCTGTCATTGAGGAAATGTCAGAGACAACTTCAGGCCTACAGAAAAGTACAGAACTCTCAGTTCTGTGCCCAGGTCTGTGGCAGGAAAATTTCTCTCTCAGTAGTGTTGAGCCTTGGTTTTTTCCATGCTGTGTGGGGGTGCTGCCATGTGGGGAAGCACAGTCTCTTGCAGTAGAGCAGCAGCACGGGGTGGTTAAGGGCTGGACACAGCACGTCAGCAGCTGTGAGGTGACCCTGCAGGCAAAGGCCAAACTAACCCAGCTTGTCTCACACTGGCTTCAGGCCCTGATCCCCAAGAAGGTCAATGCCTGTGGGTGAGTTGAGGCTCCAGTCTTGTTAGGCTGCATTCACACATTTCCAGGACTGAAATCTCAGAGAATGTGTAGGGTGGCTCTTATGTGAAGCTGATTTGATCATTACTACACTAAAGATCCTCTTAAATATATATTAAATATGTATATAAATTTCTAAATATATAAAACCCCCTGGTAGAGACATTTTCTCTGCACTACCACAGTGACATAGAGAACCGAGCCTGGCTTCCCTAAGTCACTTCTGGTTTTCTGACTCCATCCAACAGGCTCCTTGTCCTATGGACACAGTACTGTTGGTGTGTCCTGTCCTACCACTAGTCTTTTAAAGGAATGTTTAGTGCATATTACCTGGCTGCCTTCACATGAGGCACATTTTCAAGGGGCCTTCTCCATGGTGCAAAGCAAGGCCCCAGCAGAGAGGCAGAGAAGCCAAGCCTCACCTTTGGGGCTCCAAACCAGAGAGGTGCATCGCTCCTGGGAAATGCTGGTGCTCCCTGGAGACAACCACCTTCTCCTAAATTCTGCAGCTCCGGTCCTACTTAAGGTTAATCCTGAAAGAAGGAAGGAAAAAGGCTTGATTATGCAATTATTTGCAACTTTGAGTTACAGAGGTGCTATTTGCATGCTGCAAAGAAGGCTGCAGAAGAATTTACCCAGACAGAATCCAGCTTCCTGCAGTTACATGAATTTTTGGAATGTGATCAGTTTATGTTGAAATTATATGATGTTGGGGCTGCAGTTGCAAGGAAGGGAATTAGATGCCTCAAGGTATTCCTTCCCAAGCTATATTCCTAATCCTACTTTGTTTGCTCCCTGGGAAGTATAACTTTGAAAAATATTTGTTCCTTTTGACAGAGTGGTGCTCGAATCAATATTTCAGAAGGCACTTGTCCAGAGAGAATTGTGACAATAACAGGCCCAACAGATGCAATTTTTAAAGCTTTTTCTATGATTGCACTAAAATTTGAAGAGGTAAGCAAATAATTTTTTTTCCTCTCTTCAAGTTGAAATACAAACACTGTGTGAATTTTCTCATGTTTGCTTTAATGTTAAATAGGATTTGTTTAATGTTCTATTTAATAGCAATGAAAGTGGTTATATTTTTATAAATGCTTTTGGCAGCAATGCTGAAGAAAAATAATGGGTAAATTTACAAGATGTTTGATCATTTCTTTTGCTTTTTGGAGGCTTCAGGGAAAAGCAATTGCTTTTAGTAATGTGTGCTAATGGTAGGAAAAATGTCTTGGAAAAATTCTATTCCCACTGTGGGTTTGATTTGAAAAGAATAATTGCCTAACTTTTAACTCTGTTTGTATGAATCCAGTTGGTATTGATGTAAATGTTATATATGTCAAAATGAATATATAACTCATTTAACTATAATTTTTTTTTTTAAAACAAGCTATATGATTACCAATTACTACATTTAAGGCTTGTCCTTTAAAACCTATTAAAGGCACTCAGAGTAAGTAATGCAGGAATTCAATTCACTCTATGTGAATGTAAGTGTTCTGTGCAGATCTGTATCTAAATTGTTGAGATTTCCTTCAGTTTCATGGACCAGCTACAATTAGATATGGTCGCCATTTTAAAAGAGAACCTCACAGGAAAGGCAGCAGAGTACAGAACATGAACCCTGGTCACTCTGGAGAGGATTTGACTCCCTCTACTTTTGAAAATCATATGTCTAGTCCTGGCAGCTCTCCTGTCCTCTCTGGAGAGGCAGATGCCCCTGCAGGAAGCAGTTCCCCTTTTCCTAATGGAGGAGCTTGCAGACAGGTAGAGTGAGTCACCTGCACCCTGAAGCAAAGGGCAGGGTCTCTTGAGGATGGATTAAACCAGAGGGATGTCAATGCCTCTCTTAAGAATTTTCATTTCTCCAAGTCAGCAAGGTTAGTCTCCACATCTCCCCATAGCACAGGGAGATGGTGGAATTGATGAGAATTGTCAGCATGTGCCTTTATTTACACATGGCAAATGTTCAAATTTAGAGCAACACAACTAGAAGAGAGCTCCTAAGTCACCAGATGCAGTTATCTTCTAGAATCAGCTGGATGGCTTGGACTTGTAACTTCACAGCATGATCAGAAGCTAGTTAGAATTTTTACTATTCCTGATACTGGGTTCACAACTGCAGGTCTCTGATAATCAGACACCTTCTCTTTGCTCCTCACCTCACTTTATTCATGAACAGCTCATGAAGCTTTGTTTCTATGCCTGTACTGGCCATTAGTTTAGATAATTCTTGCCTTTCCATCCCTGAGGTTTCCCTTTCTAGATATATATTTAGAAGCTGATTTTATCCCCACACACCTTTGCTTTTGCCAGAGAGAGTGAATCCAAGCCCAGTCTTTCAGAGGACTCACCCCTCTCATGACTCTAGGAGTCCCTTTCCAGCTTTTTCTGGTTACATTTTATGTTAAATGTCTGAGTTAATTGCGGACAGGTTGCAAATGAAGTTCCACAAAGGTTTATTTAACAGCATTAACAGTCCCCTATCCTACTTACCATGCTGTCATATCCTTGCCACTGCTGGAAATGGCTCACCTCCTACTAGTTTAATTCTTTGCACACACCCGTGCTTTTGCCTGGTGGGTGTCCCCAGCTCCTGCTGAGAAGTTTCCACCTCTTCAGTCTTGGCAAACATTCCTGTCAGGCTCCAGACAAATTACTTTTTTTAATACTGCAGGTGTTAATCCCATTTCTATTTCTTCAGTCCTTCATGGGTTTTCAGATCTTCCTGCGTGATATTCCAAACTTTCAGTATGTTGATAAAATGTCTTGGTTTTGTGGCATGGCACATTTTATAAGAATGCTTGGGGAGGTTTTTTCCAGTTATTAATGAAATAATAATGATTTTGAGGTTTAAGCCTGCAGAACCACAAGTAATTCTATCTAACCCAATTTCAAAACCTCCTATTGTCATCTCTTTCTCCACTTCAACTCCTACCCATCATGGACCAATCCCTGTTTCTTCTAGTTTAAGAGGTAGCTTGGTGCACAGTGCCATATTCTCCAATCCAGAGAATCCTGGAGAGAGCAGTGTCTCTGCTCTCTACAGGAAAAACATGTTCCTCATCCTGTAAAATGCTGAGAATCATTAGCACAGATAATCCCTGCCAGTTCCCACCAAAATGAGTACCCAGTGGAAATAATGCTGCATGTTTCATACAAACATCAAACACTGCATGGCATCAGATCCCCAGCCCACCACCCAACACCACATAGTCTTTGAAAGTGCTGTAGGTAGCAATAGGCAAAGAAAGCTGAAATTCAGGCATCTGGCTGGATTTTGCATTTATTTGCACTTGCAGGTTTTAGAGGATAGCCTGGGCTCTTCATATGAGCATTAACAAAGGAGTATTGGCAATGTCTGCAGATCAAGTACTGCTCTGAAATATCTGTATTTAGTTTTAACATAATTGGTTTGTGGTATATTTAAAGGAACAGTAGTAAAAATCAGTTAGGTTTCCTATAAATCTTCCTGCCAATAAAATGAGGTAACTGTAATACTCTGCAGGCAAAATAAAGTGCTGTTTCAAAAATTACAAATTAGCTAGCTACCAAGTGCTGTTTTTCATGCATATGCTGGAGATTTCTTCAGCATATGAAGATTCAGTCCAGCTCTGGTTATTGCAGCTATCTTGAAACAGAAGAAAAAAGGTGCATGTGTGAGACTGCTGCTTTGAGGGACTGTTTTGGTATTTGTCATGCACACCCACATGAAGACCTTGAACCCTTAATTTCCACCCTACAGCTATATACCTAGAGATAAGCCAGTGTAGGAAGTCCTGGAATGCTTTTGTAATGTTAGTAAAAATTTCAAAATATGTCAGAGAGATAAAAAAATGAGAAAGGTTGGGTTTGTCTTCTGGTTGTTCTGTAGCCTTATATGACTCTGCTTTGACAACCTTCCTAATGGAAGTTGCTTTTCAAGCAGTCTTATGATGAATTTACAAGCTAAGTAGGTATTTAAATGAATACCTAAAGTGTTCACTGCAGGGCAAAGAGTTGTTAGAAAATGACATTAACCCAGGCAGACCCCTGGAACTGCAAGAGGGGACATTTTAGTGCAGTCACTTTTGGACTGGAGGCTGAGACCCAAGAAACGCAGCTGTAACTTCACTGGTGAAGCTGTAACGTCACTGGGGCAGCTCTAGCTTTGCTTGAAGGTCTGAAAGCACATGGTACTTAAGCACTGGAATAACCAGCAGGCACAGCATGGTAGTCAGACCTTCTCCAGATGAGTAAGAAAAGGAATTTCTGAATCCTTGTTCCTCTGTAAACATCTATGAAGCACTTGTTTGGCTCTAGAAGTCAGAGAAGAGAAGAAGAAGAGAAAAAGTGATAAAAGCAGTTAGGGTGATACCTTTCTGACAAACATAAATTCCTGCCAGTACAACTGTGATCAATGCTGTGCTGGTCATCTCCAAGGGAGAAGCCGCCTCACAGAATCCTCCTTGCTGTGGAAATTGGACAATTTAACATTTTCTTTGAAACCAGAAAAAAAGAATTTTTTTTTTCCTTGGAGGTGTGGTAGAATTCTGAGCTGCCAGATTAGTTTTGGGAAGCCTTATGTGCTATGACCTGGGGATGCCAAGAGCTTCTGCTGGCTCTTCAGCACCTCCAGGCTCCCAGTTAGCCTGTCTTGGCTGAGGAGCAGCCCACCAAGCCGGGAGAAAGCCATACAAGGTCCAGCTGTAGCGTCTGACTCAGCCCTGGAGGAATGGATGCAGTGTCACAAAAAGTTAGGGGTTAAATAAATAGGAATCTCCCAGTTTGAAAGATGACTGTTCTGTGGGAAAGTCTTGGGCCCTACTTGGAAGCCTGCAGTTCTGAGGGTTTTTTTTTTCTGCATGTTTCTCCTTTGTCATGTTTTTAAGCTGGAATAATTCCTGTATGCACTCCACGCTGCTGAGCTCCCATGTTTAGATGTTGCTTTTCTTAAATAGTGAGGACGAAAGAGAGTAGTGGTTTCCAGCTCCTACAAAGTGATTTTGAAGGCAGAAATTTCAGTGAAGGCTTTGAGGCCAGGCTGCATATGATATGGAAGTAGGAGACATGATTAAGTTTTGTGCTGTGTGGCTGAACAGGATTATTCACCTACACGTGCCTCCACCTGACACAAACATGATACAGACATGTCATCTTCCAGCTGAAAAATCAGCATAACTTCATCTCAGATACATGGGTACTGCAAATTCTGTTATCCCTCTGGCTTTGTTTTGGATTGCAGTCTCTCACTGACACAGCCACTAAACAGAATATGAGTTACTACTGGCTGGCAGAGGATTTGATAGATTGGTAGAGGATTTTAGTAGATTTGGTAGCTGTCTTGTCACATGCAGCAATGCCTTGTTGCATTCAAGATTTTATTTTCTTCTCTTTTAAGCTAATTAAGGCCATACTAAGCCTTTTCTTGGATGGAAGAATGCTGCCATCAAAACTGGGAACATACCGTAGGAATAAATGCTGGTGTCACAGGTCTCCCACACTGGTTTAGTGAGATGTGCAGAGTTGCTTGAAGTGCTGAGTAGTTCTGTTGTTGATTGTTTTTTTTATAATTTGGGGTCCTGATTGCACAATATAGGCACTTTTGTTTGTTTGGTTGGTTTGGTTTGGTTTGGTTTGGTTTGGTTTTTTGTTAAAGTGATAGTCTTTATAAGCATAGGAAATCACTTCAGTTCTGTCTGACACAGCTCCTGTTGCATCATAAGTGACTTCATAGGAAATGCATGTTTTCTCATCCCTGTCCTAATCTTTGGTAACATTCCTATGGAGAGTATAATAGCTGTGCCATGCCACCTCACAGATGAGTCTTCTCAGCTCACAGCTAGTGTTACCAAAACTCTCTGAGATTCTCATGAGTTGTTGAGTAGCTGCAGTGCAGCTCCTGGCTTTTTATTTTTTCATCCTAGGTTCCCTCAAAGCATCCCACTGATCAGTGGAAAGATAAAATTTATCTTTTCCTCTGTGATGAAATCTTTAGAGGGATTGCTTTGTCTTGCCTACAAGATTTTGAACAAACAAAATATATTTGAAACAATTCAAACCTTGCAACAAGTTGAAGTGCTTATGGGAATGTGTAATGTAGTCTCATTGGACATTGGGATACACGGGTGTGTTTCATTACCTGGACACAGGCAATCACTGTTCTGCTGAGCTTTTTGTACTTTGGTCACATAACCATGATGGAAAATATTTTAGAAATTGTGTAGTGCTACAAATATTCATGGACCTGCTACAAAAGAGGAAATAAATCTAGAAGGTGGCAGAATTATCAAAATCCTCTGATTTTCTTTGCTTCAGATTATTCATGTTCTTTGTCATTCCTTTTTTTAATCATTTTCCTTTGAATCCAGTCTGGGAAGTGACGTGAAATGTAGAGATGTATTACACAGTATAAATTTTCTAACTGAGGTGTTGGAAAAGAGACCAAAACAGACCGAAACAGGTTTTGGAAGCCTGTGAGTCCAAAAGCCTTTTGCCTCTTCCATCTGTTTTGGCTGGTTTAGTAGCAGACACCACCTCCTCCTCCTAGTCCTGCCCTCTGGTCCCACAATATGGATCTTGCAATGCCAGACATCTGAAGGTTCCTCTGGCACAGGCAGCTTCAAGCTTACAGTGTAGCACTGGCAGAGCTGTGGTGGGCTTTCCTTACCACAAAAACCAGCCACAGCTGGTTGCACGCTCCCAGATCTCCACAGACAGCCCAGGCATTTGCTGTGAGCCCTTGGGTGCTCACCTGGAGTGACAAATGCCCTGCTAATGCTGGCTGGCACTGTGATTACAGGACATCAACGCTTCGATGACAAACAGCTCGGTGACAAGCAAACCGCCCGTAACGCTGCGGCTCGTCGTCCCAGCAAGTCAGTGTGGATCCCTCATAGGAAAAGGAGGTTCCAAAATCAAGGAAATCAGGGAGGTAAGTCTTGGGATGTGTTCTGGGGACGCTGGCTAGCTCAGCATCCTGCTGCAATGTGCCCTGCCAGCATCATCCACTGCACTTTGCTGATCACACCAACATGAGCATGCGTCGACTAAACCTGGAAAAGCCTTGGTCTGGGAGAAGCAGGGGGTCCAGCACAGCTGCACTTGTACTTTTCTTGACACTAAAGACCACATGTGAAATAGAGAAACAGCTTTACAGTGTATAAAGTCTTTCATGCACAATTAAGCAAAGCAACAGTGACAAATGGCTCTTCAAGTTTGTTTTCCAGCGCAGATCCCTGCCCAGAAATACTCAGGGGACCCCAAGTCAAAGAGTTGCAGCCATTTCCAAGTTAGTTACCACCCTTACAGTCAGAGAAAAGCCTAAGCAGCACTGGGGATTCCAATCTAATAGACCTACTTTCTAGAAAAGTGTTATTTTCATGCACCTTCTCTGTTTCTCCTTAATGTCACTGGGCCACAGGTGACCTGATTTGATGCATTCCAAACACATGCAGAATTTTTCTTAGTCCAGAATTTATCTAGAGGTATTCATTCAGTGTGCTAGGAGCCACTTTTTTGTCTAACCAAAAAATGCAAAAAGTACCATAAAAAAAGCCAAAAAGCCTGTTTTAACTCTTCCATGCATGACTGTTAACAATATAGCACATGCCATGCCAAGGATCTGGTGTTTGTAACCACTCATACAAGAAAATCAGGTATATGCTCAGTTATATAGAGAAAATCTGAATAGGACATTTCAGAAAAATGGATTGTTATTCTGGAGGAAGTGACAATATTCCTTCTAAATTTGAATTCATTCCAACATCGGATGAAGTGTTGAATTTTAAGATAACATGTTGATCAATTTTTTTGATCTACGTCAAAACAAAAGGATTTTGACAGGCTCTTCAAAGCTGGAACTTTGGGTTTTTTAATCTAAAATGTGGATCCAAGACAGTAGGTTTTATGGAGCTTTTAAGTTGACTTCTTAGTTGTGTTAAAATAGAAGCAGGCATGAGTGTGAACTGTGTGCTAGTGATTGCTTAGCTCCAGGTTTTACAGCTGTCCATACTTTGGATTTTATATTAAATATTGGTAACTTCACTCAGAGCACTGTGAGAATGTGCCCAAGACATAGGTTTTTAAAGGTGAGATTGGTCTGTTGGCTAAATAAGTGACTGAAGTGATTGTCCTGGTGAGCATAGTTTCAGGAGCAATTGCCTGTAGTCTGGTACAAGGAAGTAAAAGGATAGTTTTTGGCCAAATAGGTGTTTTGATAAGGTTAATGTAGCAAGAAGTCACACTGCACATCTTCCTAAGCATAAGGATAATGGACAAAATATTACTTGTTTTTTGCTATTGATGAAAGTCAGAGAATAAACCAGATCAGCACTGGGAGTAAATGCATAAATGACTCTGGTACTTGGCAGTCTTTTGTGCTGGATGCACAGATACCCAGGAATGTACATTAAAAAGCAAATACCAGGAAAGAGGGGGAAATCGAGCATCCAGCCCAAGATGTGATCTAATTTCATCATCACACAACATACTGAACAGTTGCAAAAGGAGGGGTCTTTTGTGTTCAGTCATGCACCCAGAAACAGTAGGGTTGCAGTACTATTTTTGAGATAACATTATGAAAAAAAAGAAAGTAAAAGCATGAGGGATTAATCAAATTACAGTGAAATTCCAAAGTCTGTTGTGGAGCATGGAATTGATACTTTGGCCTTAAACAGCACTAGCAAACAGAAGATGAAATCAGTACATTAATCAGTCTTTGGAAAGAAGGATAACACGTGTTGTGTATAACTAGCAGGAAAACAAATTAACTCCTTGCTGACTGACACAAAGGCAATGGTTACTGAAAATACTTGTATTTTAAAGCCCAAATGCTGCGTTGCATAACAGTCAGAAATAGATCTTTTGTGCAATATGTTAAAGAGCTTGGTCAACATCAAATGTGTTTTTCTCTATTCACTGAAAAGGTCTTCTGTGTTTGTTTAATAATGTCAAGGGTTGTTTGGGCTTCCTTTTTTTTTTTTAGACTAAAACACACTAGTGCCAAGATCAAATTTAAAAAACAGTGCAAAAAATAATCCCAAAAGTGGCTCATTACTTTCTTGGTTTCATTAATGAGCTAAAAGTTAATTTAATCAACACTAATTATGATTTAGAAGTGCTTCTGTACCATATAGCATAAGGAAGCCTGAATTTCAACAAGAGACACAAGTCAGCCATCAGTAGATTAAAAAGCCATTTATCAGTAGATTAAAGAGTGACTCATTTGATTAGCTGAGCTTCTTCAATTACTGGGGTTTGTTTCTTCTTATTTTTTTATTATTGAAGAGTACTTCATTTCACCCTGTTCACTTTTTAGTCAGCATTGAAACTGTCAGTCTTTGAGAGGGTTAAAATGCTTCTCATGAAGTTCAGCTCTCAGCTACTGAGGACTAATCTCCCTGGGGTGGTAGTGTTGGCAAGCTGGCTTGAACGACCAAATCCATGTCCAGGGTAGGAGTTTCCATATGGGCTCTACCACATCCAGCAAAGAAAGGACAAAAAGTTTAGGGGTGCACCCCCTCTGTTGTCTCAGTGGAAGAGTGGAGAGGTGCCCTTGCCTGCATGGCAGTGACAGTGTCTTTGCCCTGTCTCTGCTCAAGTCCACAGGAGCGCAGGTGCAGGTGGCAGGGGACATGCTGCCCAACTCGACGGAGCGCGCCGTGACCATATCTGGCACTCCCGACGCCATCATCCAGTGCGTCAAGCAGATCTGCGTGGTGATGCTGGAGGTGAGTGGGCACCCTGCGTGTCCCTTCTCACTCAGGAGATGCTCAAAGACATTATTAATAATTGTCAATTGCCATGAGTTCCCCTGAGGTGCTGCCTGCCCTTCCTGAGCCAGGGATTTCCAGAGGCTCTGTTAAACTCTGCTTTTCCTGGTGTTTGAGAGCCTCTTGCAGCAAGATTTAGCAGTCAAAGGCTGTCATGATATTGTTGAACAACAACCAGGTCCAGAACAGAGCTGCAGTCATTCTGAAAGAAACACATTTTGTTCTGGTGTGGAATAGGGCAGAAAACATCCAGGTCTTATTTAAAATAAAAATTATTCTGACCTGCCAGGACTTTTTGCTTCCTTAGGGTCAGGTCATTGCCATAAGACCAGTAAGTTTCATGTTGATGGCAGTTTTTTAGCCCTTAGATTAAATGATACACAAAATAAATTTATATAAAAATCTGGGCCTTTTAACCCTTACTGAAAACACCCATAATTTCCAAGCCATCAACCATGCCCCTGTTTCCTGAAATGCCTTAACATGCTTCATGAAGCTTCATAGCTTCGTCTGACAGTGGCAGTAATGAAACCACAGGTGTCACCATTGCCTGTTTTGGCCATGCACTCAGGTCCTCAGCTCTTCCCTTGAAGGCCAGACAGGAGGCCTCTAGCGTGCTTTTGGTCTGATGGGGTGGGGGGCAGGGTGGGCTGGGTGGGTTACCTGCATGCCTTGTTGTCTGAGGTGACCAGTGTTTATAAAAAGAGACATCTTTTTAATACAAGCTCTGCTTTGTTTTACATTTTGACCGCTTTGTGTTTTTGTCTGCAGTCCCCACCCAAAGGTGCCACCATCCCCTACCGTCCCAAACCTGCCTCTGCACCTATCATTTTTGCAGGTGGCCAGGTAAGAGCAGACACCATTTTGGCTTCAGCTGGAAACCACACCGTCCTGGCCCAGCCTCAGCCAGCGCCTGTTAGTTTTCAACTTTTACTCTTTCTTGCCTGGTATAGTATGGATGTGCTTTGTCTACTGTGTGTGCTTACTGTTTGCAGGAGAGGAGAACACTGCATTGCAAACTTTACACAAAATTGTGACAACCTGGTATTTTACCAAGATTTAACATTGACTTCTGTGATTAAGAAAGGTGTGCCCTTCTGCAGATTGAGAGGTGTCCAGATCAGGAGCTCATTGAGTGCGGCAGCCCTACTTATTGTAGTGGTTGGGTTTTTTTTTTCCTTAACTTGCAGCTTCACTAGCAGTATAAGCAGTTTTGTCAATTTTGAGAGATGATGAAACAGTGGGACATTTCTGCTAATGAAAAGTGTAATTTTTCTCTCATAGTTTTCATACTTTTTGGGACCAAACAGTGCTTTTTGCCGTAAGGATTTACACACACATAATTTCCAGTGCTTGTAGTCCCTCGGGACCAAGTAGCAATGGAATTCCAAAGTGGCTGCAGCTACTTGCATGCAAGTGTAGACCTTCCCAGCAATGGTGTGGAACAGCCTGATTGATAACCCAAGAACAGCATTCCTGTTTCTTTTTTATGTGAAGAAGTTTTGATGATTCCTCCTTCACCTTAAGCTGTATCATTCAGGCTGTATCTCGTCTGCCTTTAAAAAACCGCATGCAATAGGCTCTTCTGTGTCTTTTAGTAATGTCTGAAATGACTCTGCAGTGCGTGACAGAGGCATAGCAGGACTGGTCTGCCATCGTCCATTGCAGAGGGGATGCAGCTTTCACTGAAGAGCCAATGATAAATAGAGCTGATAAATCCCCTAAAAACACTATGGAGGGGTCACAAGGCGACCTGTGTAGCCACCAAGCTTGGAGCAGTGGTGGAGGAGTGAGATGCTGCAAGCCCTGCCTGACTCAAGGGGAAATTGACCCCAAAAACCCAGCCTAGAGGAAGGCAGACATCTACTCAGGATTAACATACGTAAAGCCCCTCTGGCAGCAAGGCACCCCCACCCAACCAGATCTTTTCCCCAAGGTGATGCCAATGCTCTTTTTAAGCAATTACCCAATTACCAGGGTGGCCCCCCTCCCACCCCATCAGCCCATCCAAGGCCATCACCCTGTCACAGGTTGTGTGCTGATGGCACAGACTGTGTCCCACCTCAGGCAATTTGGAGATCATATGAGAAGCTGGACATGGAGTTCCTGGTGGGGCTGAGTGCCCAAGGTGCTGCTGGCATTGTTGGTGTGATGACCTGTGCCACCACAATCTGCTGGTGTGTAAGGAAGCTCTTGCACAGCAGCACACACCTCCCAAGCAAATGCCAAAATGCTTCTGGACAGCCCTTGTCATGAACTGTCTCTGATTTTTTTTGTCTCAGAGTTTTACTTTCTATTCTCTAATGATTTGTTCTGATGGATATCCAGATTTTTATAATCTGGATGTAGTCACTTTCATCATGTTTGAGCCTACTTTTGTTATTTGTTGTCATCAAAATAAGAAATCTGCTTCTTTAGTGACCAAAGCTGAATTGAAATGTAAAATGATGTGCCAGAAACTGGTCTATGACTGAAAGTTCAGAATAATTCACTCCATATATGTAAGTTTATACTGCAGTGCTTTCCTTTAAGAAATATGCGTGTGTATATATATGCAGCAGCCCATTCTATCAGTGTTGTAATTGCCACTGCCTTCAAAGGCTGTATATGATTACTCAAAAGCATTGAAACTGTTTGCTAGAGGGTGCTGAGCAGTTCGTATAAATAATTGAAAGTATCCTATTTTCAGGTCTAATAGCTCTTGTCATCTTCAGTTTATCAGTTTAAAGTGTTCTCACTTTTCTAATGGAACCTTGTTGATGTGAGAAGGAATGGAAGAGGCAGACACCTTCTGTGTGCTTTGAATTTCTGTGTGCTCTGACTAAGCAGAATTTTTAAGAAAATGCTTAAGATGTGTTTGGACACCAGCATGGAAAGCCACTTTAACCATGTTTCATAAGTGGAACTTAATACCAAAAATAAAATTTTATTAGCACTGTTAGTTCCATTCAACGTTTCAGCTAAGCTATCAGGAGTTATTTTTCTATTCTAAATTACATCGTGGCTATCTTGGAAGGATTTTGTTTAACGCTTGGTAAAATAAGTAACATTAGCAAAATATAATCTCTAGTTTTCCTTAAGAAGTTGGGGTTCTTCCACTCCAAGTATTGCTTTTAATTCTCTTGTGCTTCTTTGATTCTGCATTGTATAACAAAACTAAAAGGAAACTGAACACTGCCCTACTCTTCTCCTATAGTTATTTAGCATGTGCAATGGTTAAATTAGACATTTCTACCCTGTGTGCTGCACTGGTGGTATTCAGAGGGTGCAGCTTTGCTTTATGTCTCTCACCATTATGATGGTCTAAATTGAGGGAGATGTGCTGACCAGGTCATCCCTGCTGTTACTTACATCAGTAGGGAAGTTGCCCTTGACTGGATGGAAGCAGATCCATGGCCCCTGTGCTCAGTGGAACATTACAGGACAGATGGTTCAGTAGCCTCTAATCAGGCTTGAGCTCAGCAAGCCCCAGCCCTCAGCCCCAAAAACACGATTTCCCTGACAAAGGGTAAAGGAGATACTGTTTTCTCAAGCTAAATCATCAAATAACCTTTTGGCAGCCTAAGAAATGAAAACCTTTCTTTCTCTTTATTTTTTTTTTTTTTTTTCCTGGGGAAGAAAATTCAAGGCTCATCATGTCCATTCTAGTTTGATAGTTTTCATGCCAAGCAATCAAGTAAACCTGGTCTGAGCACTAAATAAATATTCATTGTTTTTATTACCTTCAATCAAGTAAACCTGGTCTGAGCACTAAATAAATATTCATTGTTTTTATTACCTCCCCAGTTTTTTTGCTTCCTCCTATGTACACATGGAAGTATGAGGGAGCAGAATGATGAGGGAAGAGGTGGCTTCTGTTGGTTTGCTGGTTACTTTTTGTGATGGGTTCTTGCTGGTTTGCAGACCACTGCTTGGAAAACAGCCATGTAAAAGATGTTCCCTCAGCTGGGTTTGAAGTACAGCTGAGACCAGAAAAGACGCTTGTGACCCAGCACAGAGGCTCAGACACCAAAGCATGGTTTCCAAACCCACTGTTTGCCCACAGTCCCAGCTGTAACCTCCCTGAAGCTGCTGCCGGGCTTGGCTGAGCACAGAGCACCCCCACCACCACCCCTTCCCACTGAGGTTGTCCTCATTTGGTGAAACAGTTTAAAAAGTTTCGTTTGCTTGAATACATGTTTTCTTTAGACCCACTGATGACGGTGGTCACTTGTTTTTGTGGAATAGAACCTTACCTAGTGATATACAACTCATCAGTGATGCCCATACCCTGTAGATGCACATGCATGTTTGCCCATGAGCCTCCCATTGAGCCTAGTACACACAGTTTTCTCCCTGAAAACTGTTCATGTGCATGTTTTCCAGATTATGGCCTGGCTTTATAACTAATTTAAAAACTAAATTAAATGTTTCTTCTCCAGAAGGGAAATTCTGCTACAGAAATGTGCATCATGCAGTTGAGACATTAAAGGTTTTAATATCCGAACTCCATTAAATGAATTGTTTTATCATTTGCAGAGGATTCATTACTTTCTAAGAGGCCTTTTGTCAAATAAGCATTTTGCAAACTAAGCTAATCAGCTCTGTTCCTGTTTATAATTCTCCCACTACAAATATTTATGTTATAATTTGTCCTTCTGCTTTCCTGCCTGTCTAAGCACAAGCACATTAATTTTTTTTCTGACATGCCATTCCTTTCATACATAATAGAAAATCATAAACTCTCTGTAGTTTTTTCCTTTTTGTAGGCCACTGCAGAGAGTTGAACAGGACCAGCAGGAGAGACAAAGGGCTGTGCTAACTGGTGCCAGGCATGCCACCATATCCCTTCTCACTCGTGTGCTTTTTTACCCCCACACCTCACCCCGGTGCTGCCAGAAATTATGCCAGACACTTGCAAGGGACTTACATCCCTTGCACTGCTCTTGTGGTGCAGAGTGGCTGGATTTGGAGAGAGGAGATCTGGCTTGTTGTGGAAGATAAGACCACCCACTGTGCTGGGAGTCTCCATGATGCTCCTGTCTCCAAACCGGCCTGCTGGCCCTGTGCCCAGCCACTGCAGGACAGGCTGCCATCAGCACACAGGCTCAGCTGCCCACTGGCACGGCAGCCTGGGCATGAACTCCATGAGATGCCCCGTCAGGTATCTGTGGCTGTCAGATGACGTGTCTCAGAGCTGGCTGGGACATGACCCTGCACACACGTGGCAGTCAGGAGCTGGAGGACAGAGCAGGGCATCCCCTGAGCAGCCCTGTCCCCTCCTTGCTGTGCCTCTGGCTGCTCTGGCATCAGCATCTCCCCAGGTGCCTTGGTGTCACTGGCCACCCCCTGTGCTCCTTGGCCCCCTCTCTGTCCTCAGCTCTGCTCCCAGCAGGCAGAGCTGGACTAAAGAGAGCTCCTGAGGGCCGAGAGCATCAGGGCTCAGGCAGGGGCACTTGGGGTTCACTGCTTGCAGGGGTACATGGGCAGCCTGACAGAGACCTTTCTGTGCCGTGCCAGGGGTTATCAAGCAGCACAAGACAATTAAACCTCACTCACTGCGGAAAGCAATGCAGGTGGCATTTGCTGGGGGAGGCATGAGAAACTTTTGTGATGAGAACTGGAATGCTGCTTGTCCCACCTGACTAACCCTGTCTTAACTGTGCTTGTTGTTCCCAGGCGTTCACGATTCAGGGGCAGTATGCCATCCCTCATCCAGACGTGAGTCCAGCACATGTAAATTATTCCCTTTTTGTTCCTCTCCCTCTTATTTGTTCTGGGCAGCATTTGCTTTCTACAGTTAGCAATAAAGACATGGCCTAAAGGCACCTTTCCTGACCAACGTGATCTGTAGCCAAGTGTTAGCCCAGCTGCATCTCTTACCTTGTGTAATAATTGCTAGAAAGTACAATGGCCCAGGAACAAATGACAGTTATCTTGGTCTTTTTGCATGTGATATATTTGAGTTCTTTTAATATGTAATTCTACAGTAATTAGTTAATATTAACAATAGCCATTACATGTAATAACAGTAGAGATGTCATTTATAACCAGTTTGTTTTGGTTTTTTTTTCTCTATGGTAGATTAGAATGAATGATTAAACCTTTTATTTTTCAATATAATTTTAATTAATCCAGTTTTAGAACACGTAAGATGGTTTCTCTGCTCTGAAATAATTCCATTTGATTGGTTAGTTCTAATTTCCCATCCTGCCCTGCAGTTGACCAAGCTTCACCAGTTGGCTATGCAGCATCCCCCCTTTACTCCCCTTGGGCAGACCACCCCTGGTTTCCCTGGTACGTACCCATGACCCCCTGGGGATGTCCTTCTTCTTAACAGCTTTGTTTCCCATTGGTCATTACATCATTTTAATAATAAATGTGGTCAATGACCAGCAATCCTTCTGTTTTTACACATTAATCTCTCTTCTTCCCTCCCATACCTCTGTTACTGTTCCTTTCATCATTACTAAAACGTGCTTTGTTTGTTACTTTTATTAATCACAACTGCTTCATTTGTGCCCTTGGCTAAAAGCCCTGAGTTTCTTCTGTTCAGTCCTTGCACAGTTATTGTGGACCGTACAGTATGTACCAGTTGGTTCTGAGGGAAGCACCTGGGCGGGCTTCTTGTCCATGCTTTGGTGGCATGGATCAGAGAGAAGCAAACGTGGGAAAACAGTTTGTGCTCATGGCACAGAAACACCAACTAAAGAAACCACGGCATGCTGAAAGTTGAGTTCTCATAGAGCCAAATGTCTTGAGAGCATCTGCAATCATCACTGCTGTGACAAGTGCCTCACTTCCTGCTAGATAACTCAGATATAGCTACAAAATGCCATGGAAATTTAGTTAAGGACTTAAAATTTGCTCCCTACTTAATAAAGCTGAAGCTGAATTATTGATTGAAGAGTGAGAAGTCACTTAAGCCTGCAAATGAACATTTACACTGTGCTTCACAACATACATGCTTGGCATCTAAAAACTTCACAGAAGTGTATCTGTACTGGTACATGCTTTGTATGGCAAATAACATTTTATCACATACATCACAAATTCTCTGAGCAACTTGACTACTTGATACTCAGTGTGAAACAAGCTTGTGCAATTCATAATTGAATATAAACAAATAAAATTAGCCACTTTATTTATTTTTGTATATTCTAGTTAGAAATTACTATTTTTGGCATATCTTTACAGATAATACAATAAACACCAATAAAAGAGAAAATAAGATAAAGATTCATGACATCCAAACATACTTTTGTTTCTTTGTGATGTATCTGATAAAATACCTACAAGTAATACTAAATGGCTTTTCCTAGCTTTGTGTTTTCCTTATTCTTGTCATTAACATCCTGCTCCTTAATCTTTTCCTGGATATATTTGTGAGATGTACGTTTCTGTAATGTTACTGTGTGTTAGAACAGTAATTCCATTTTCCTTTTGTCCACCCAATTTACAAACAAATGTATGTAGCTTAGAGTACTTTGTCCATTGCCCTTCCAAAATTATCCTTCCCAACATTTCTTTAGCAACTAATCCCACATATAATTTCCAGATTTTCTTAGGTTAATTTCTTTGTCCTTATTTTAACTTTTTTGTTATTTTTCATGAACATGTACTCTGTTCAGCTAATTGTTCATTTGGCATCCATTTTAATTTTCCATATTCTAGAATTCCTGGTAGACAGGTCCAATTTCAGCCATACATTAATTTCTTAATTGATGTGTTTAGAACAAGCTTTGGAGACTTATTTTTAGAGGAAACCCTTCATTTTCTAGAAGCTTTTTGTGATGACTCTCTGGAATCTCATGTGACATTTGTGGCTTTGATGGGTTAAAGGTTAATTAAAATAAGACTAATTTAAAATTAGCCCAGCCCTCTGAGTTTTGCATCCTTTGCTTTCTTTTCTGTTTCACTATCAGTTCTCTATTTTTCTTTGCTCTTTTCTCTTTTTTTTCCCTCTCCTTTCTGTATGTTTCCTTCTTTAAAATTTCATTTGTTGTGTCTTGCCGTTTTTGCAAACAGCTGGCGTAACATTTTCCCTCTGTCCCCTGAATAGGACTGGATGCCACTACTCCAACCAGTTCCCATGAACTTACAATTCCCAATGATGTAAGTGGACCAATAGTCCGTATCTCTTTCTCTTCTCTCGCTCCTCTGCCGCCAGAGGGGACACCTCTGACCTTGGCTGATGTGCCAGCCCCAGGACAGACTGTGCAGCGCTCAGCCTGTGGGGAGGGGCCTGAGGGGCTGCAGAAGTGCTGGATGGCAGGGCAGGAGTGGCTGTCCCCTCTCGTGCTCCTTGGCGACAGTGCCACGGGGCTGCGCTGCCTTCAGGAAAGCCTGGGCTCCCAAAATTCATCTCTCAGCTGGCACTGGCATGGGTGGTCTCAGCAGAGGGGCCAAAGGGGCTGGAACAATGTGCAGCCCTGTGTGCTGTGTGTTGGGCTGGAGTCCTCCATGGCCATCTCCACTGAACCCCACATCTACCCAAGATGGCATTTTTCCTGAGCCAAAAAGCTGCTTTGGAAATGTGAAGGTGCAGTATAAGGGTTTTTTTTAAAAAAACAAGGGCTAGGAACATTCCTGCTCCAGCAGCTCTGGGTTGGTTGTGATCAACAGGGCCAGTGTCCATGAGCAACATGGTGCTGAATCTTAAAACAGTTCAAAGTGCCCAACTGATATGCTGGGCATCACATAAAAATGCCTTCCCCTTTAATTTGATTTTATTGCAGACAGGGTTGGGGTCTTTTTTCCATTTTCATTACAAATGAGTCATTTGGAAAATGGAAGTATTCCCCTCCAGTAAAAAAAGCTCTGAAGCATGGCTGGGATCACAAATAGCAATTATATTACTTAAGAGATACTTACAATATTGTGCAAGCCCTATTAAACTCAGTGGCAATGATTTACAGTAAGAGAAAGATACAGAACCACAAAGTGGAGGTGTGAGTGCTGTGATTCATTAAACTTTCTGTTACGTAAAAAATTCCCTGCTGATTTATCAGTTGCTTTGCAACCAAATTCATATTAAGTTGAGAATTTTTTAGGAGCACCTTCTTTATCCTTACAGCACAAGTTTCTTAATTTCCCCTTCAGACAAATGTTGTTCTTGCCAGCAGAGTTATAAATCCAAGGTCGCTCTTCTGACTTATCTTCTTTTGGGGTTCATGGTAGAAAAAGGGAGGGAGAAGGTTGGCCCTGGGTCTTGTAGTGCCATACAAATTTTTTTAAACCATCAGTTTCTCATCCATGAGGTGTGAAATTCCCAGCTCAGCACTGTCCATGAACAGCAAACATGAATCTGCCCGATGATTCTCATAGAAGGTTTTTATGGCTACACAGTGGATGTCTTGCTGTTGCTGCTAAAGGAGCAAAGCCAAGGCTAAAGTGGGGTCAGGCTTAGGAAGAGCCTGCAGGAGCTCTCCAGGTGGTGAGAGGAGTTCTGATGTGTGTGTGGTGTCAAGGAGTGCATTAGAGGACCAGGTCAGTGCTGCCACCTGAGCCCGGTGTGCCCCTCTGTGTGTGTGCATGCCCAGGGCTGCAGAGCAGAGGGGAGAACTGGCTCTTGTCCTGTTGGGTAGCAGGAGCTGCTTGGGAATCTCACCGGTGCCTTCCCTGGGGTCTCCCAGTGTGGCCATGCATACTGTGCCCCATCACAGCTGCACTAGGGCTGCTCTCCAGGCAGCCCAGTGCCAAAAATGTATTTTTTTTTGTAAGCAGTGGTGTGACCAGCAGGACCAGGGCAGTGAATGTCCCCCTGTGCTTGGCTCTGGTGAAGCCACACCTCAAATGCTGTGTTCAGTTTTAGACCCCACAGTTCAGGAAAGACACAGTTCAGAAATTGAGGTGCTGGAGCAAGTCCAGAGAAGGGCAATGAAACTTGTGAAGGGTCTGAGCACAGGTCCCATGAGGAGCTGCTGATGGAGCTGGGGTTGTTCAGCCTGAAGAGAGGAGGATCAGAAGGAACCTGATTGTTCTCTGTAACTACTTGAAAGGAGACTGTAGGTGGGTGGAGGTTGTTCTCTTCTCCCAAGTGGATGATAGGAAAAGAGGAAATGGTCTTAGGATGCTGTACCAGAGGAGGTTTAGACTGGATATTAGGAGAAATGCCTTCACTGGCGGGATGGTCAGACATTGGAACAGGCTGCCCAGGGAAGTGGTGGAATCACCATCCCTGGAAGTGTTCAAAAGGACATCTGGAATTGTTCAAATGGACATTGTGGCTGTGGCATTTGAGGACTTGGTTTAGGATGAAATTATGGTGTTGGGTTAATCACTGGGCTCCGTGATGTTAGAGGTGATGTACAACCTTAATGATTCAAAGAGAAATGAGGATATGAGGGAGACAGAGAGAAATAAGGCATGAGGGAGCAGGGTGGGAAGGCACAGGCACCATCAGTCAGATGCTGTGTGTGGAGGGAGGTCAGGGGGGAGAGGCAGCAGCAGCTGTGCGCAAAGCCTGCGTGGGCAATTCGACTTTGCTTTCCCAATAAACATCTCCTGGTGCCAGTTTTGATGGACAGGCTGTCATTGTGGCACAGGGATTGTTTATCTGGCTGAAGGTGAAGGAAGCTGCAGGCCCAGGCACAGAGCTGCAGTGCAGCCCTGAAGCTGCCTGGGGTTTGTCCCCTGCCTGCTCCAGCTCCAGGGATCCCCTGTGCTGCACGAGTTCCACATCTTTATTATCATTGTGCTTGTCTGTGTGAAAGTCCAGCACACATGAGAACACCATGAGACCTGCAAATACCCACATGCTCTGCTGCTACCAGAGAAATCAGTGTATAGCTACATGTGCTACATACTTTTATATATTTTTAAAGACCAAGATAATGATAAGCATACCTCAGTAAGAACATGATTGAGCAAAATCAGATATAAAGACAATGAGGAGATGGGAGTTTAGCCTAGTGTACAGCAAATAGATATAAATACCCTTTTACAATCACTTCATATTAAAATAAATTTTCCTCATTCCCTCTGGCATTTAGGCAGTGACAGAAATTTATTTTTCTGTTATTAATAATTTCTGTAAAAAAATCATGCTGCTTTCTTCATGCAATATGCTGGCAATTGCAATTAACCTGTTGCTCAATAACAAAGTGATACTGGAAAACAAAAAAAGTTTACAGAAAGTTATTTTTCACATGCTAAAAGCTGAGGCTTCCCTTCCAAATAATGAATTCAGAAGATTTGTTTTTCTAGGTTTTTTCATAACTTCTGTGTAACTCCAAAAAGAGAACAAAGAGGACACTTCTCCCAGTCCATCTCAGAAGTCACCTTGGTCTTTATAGTATCTCATTTTGATCATCAAAGTCTCTTACAGGGGCATTTGATTGCCTTTCTTTCCCTGCTGGGATCTTGTCTGTCCTTCCACTGCTGCCCAGGTTACACAGCATAAGTGTGTTTCACCTAAATCCCAGAATAAAGTGGCATAAACAAGTCCTTAAAAGAAAGAAGAGGTGACACCCTTGGGTGTAGATTATAGATGTCTTGAGATTTCATAAGTCAATACCCCAAAACATCCATTGGGAGTAAATGACCTGACCAATAATAATTTAAAAATCCATCTCATAAAAATTAGGCACATTTTGCATATATGTGGGAGAGGCAGGGACAAGCAACAGGAAAGCAACTTACCCCACAGAAAGCACCAAGAACATTTTAGGGCAGCTGTAAATCTGATCACTATGCCATAGAAACAGAAGTGTCAATCCTTCCAAGATGGATATGGCAGACCTGAAGAATTGCCTTTATTTCCCTATGGTATCTCAAACACTTCCCTGCCAATGAGTGGGATCCACATGTGCAAAATGTTCTCAGAGCTGCCCACGTTTTCTCAGTTTTCTATGTGGCTTATTGCAAAGTCTGTGCAATTATTATGGTCCAGATTTTGCATTGTTGTGGCAAGGAAATTTCTTAAAGTTATTATTGTATTGTTCTTAAGAGATACAGGGTATTTAGACTTCTTTTTCCAGGCCCTGCTGCAAGTTTGTAAAGAACTATAATCTGCCTCAGGGAGATATTCCCCCTATAGAGTACTCTGCCCCAGACCTTCTAGTTAAAAAACAGAAAACAGACCAACCCAAACCTGAAACTAAGAGTTTCAGCCTGTGTCTTTCTGAAAAGAGATTGAAGAGTCTCATTCATCATGAGCACCTGCTTGCTTAGCTAATGCAGAGGCTTTGCCAAAGCAAATGGACTGGCTGTGTTGGGAGCAGGGAACCAGGGGGATCCATGAGTACCTGTGGTCAAGCTGTCTGCTCCTGACAGCAGATACCAAGTTACAGAGGCTAATTCTTGGCCCTTTTTACAAGCACTGCATTATAAGAAAGGAAACAGATTCTTTTTCACCAGTGTTTAAAATCTCCATGCCATTTCCTGTGGCACTCAATGCTCTGCAGCATTGAACTCTTTTATTAGACTCTGTCAGTGCTTTAGCATTACAGGAAAATTCATATATATCTATATATATCTATATATATCTGTGAAGCATTTATATTTAGCATTATGGAGAAAATAAAAAAATGGAAGAGAGGTAGCTGAACCACAGATTCCATAGTATGTTGGGAGAAACTATCAGCATCAGTAATTTGGAGGTGGGAGGAATTACAGACCTTAGAATCCCACCTTTTAAGAGTCCAGACTCCTGACTCAGTTCTGTTCCCATTCATGGCTGCAGAACTTTATCAAAGAACAGAGCAAAGCTAGAAAAAAGCAAAAAGCAGAACGTGTGTTTTAGGGTTGGTTTGTTTGTAGTTTTTTTGGCACAAGGAGAAATGAGGTATGTTGAGCTTGGGGAAGACAGACAGAGGTGGTCTAGAGAAAGTAGAAAGGGAACCATTTTTACTTGATGCTCACAGATCAAGGAGAAGGGTACATCAGCTGAAACTTTCAGGTGTAAAAACAAATGGTGATACTTAACACATCAGCAAGCTCTGCAAGTCACTGCAAGTCACTGCCATGGCCCTTGGACAGCAAAAGGAGTAAAAGGTTCAAAAAGAAATTGTCAGGCAAATGGGCTATGGAGCATAAAGGTAGAGATAGCAGCTACTGCTCAGGTGGTCTGTAAGCCTTAGGAGGAAATCTGAAATACCAGCAGAAATTTTATTTTATATCTCACACTGGTTTTACTTTTTTTTTCTTGTAAGGATGGGTTACTTCCACAGTCAGAGACAGACTACTGGGCTTGATGCACATCTGTGTGAGCTCTTCCACCCAAGTCTTGAGAGAGTCAAATTATCGATGCATGTACATGTACATACTCTGTGTGTGTGTATGTACATATGTGTATGTTATAGATACTTAAATACAAGTATTCCCAGAGTGGGTGAATCTCAGAGTGGGTCAGATTGCAGGGACCACAGGGCCGTCTGGTCCAACCTCCCTGCTTCAGCAGGGTCATCTTACAGCACATGGCACAGGATTGTGTCCAGATGGTTCATGAACATCTTCAGTGAGAGAGACTCCACAACCTCTCTGGACAACCTGTCCCAGTGCTTGGTCACCCACGCAGTGAAAAAGCTCTTCCTCACATCCAGGTGGAACTTCCTGTGCATCAGTTTTTGCCCATTGATTGCTTTTTGTCGTACTGTTTGGCACCACCAAGAAAAGCCTGGATCCACCCTCTTGGCACTCTCCCTTCAGATTCTGATATTCATGAGGTCCCCCCTCAGTTGTCTCTTCTTGAGGCTGAACAGGCTGAGTTCCCTCAGCCTTTCATCATAAGAGAGGTGCTTCAGTCTTTTACTCATCTTTGTGGCCCTGCACTTGGACCTGCTCCAGGAGCTCCATGTCTCTCTTGTCCAGAGTAGCCCAAAACTGGGCACAGCACCCCAGACATGGCCTCACCAGGGCTGGGTACAGGGGCAGGATGACTTCACTTGTTCTGGGCAGTGTTATTTATTCCTAATGCTCCCCAGGATCTCATTGTCCTTCTTGGCCCCAAGAGCACACTGCTGGGTCATGGACAGCTTTTTGCCAGGGCCCCCAGGTCCTTCACCACAGAGCTGCTTTCCAGCAGGTCAGCCCCCACATTTATTGAATTTCAGACAGCTCCCCTCTGCCCATCTCCACCCTGTCGAGGTCCCTCTGGAGGGCTGCCCAGCCCTCTGGGGTGTCACCCTCTCCTCCCAGCTCTGTGTCATCAGGGAACTTGCTGAGCAGGCCTCTGCCCCTTCCTCTGAGTCACTGATGAACACGTTAACACTGGCTCCAGTGTTGAACCTTGGGGGACACCACAAGTGACAGGCCTCCAACAGGACCCTGTGCCACTGCTGATTACATTTATTAGTTCATACAGTATTAGACTACAGTGTATAGTAGGCTTGGTATAGTCTGTGGTAGGTTTGGCTCCTCTCCCAAATGCACCAGAGGTGTTTGGTTGGATGCAGTTTGACAATTCCATCTCAGAGCAAGGCATCTCAGGCAGGTCTCTATATAAAACAAAATCCCCATAACTAAATGTCCCTTGAATGACTTCTAGAACACATCAGCTCTTGAATACTCAGATACTGCTCAAATTTAAGTGTAATAACATGTAATGAGAAAGGCTCCCCAGAGAGAGCCCAAGCCCCCAGCACTGCTATCCTTCCTGCATGGCAGATGGAGTTGTGTGTTCTGCATGAGCTGCAGGCCGTGTCACAGCTTGCAGAGGGTGTCCAAACATCCTGTTGTCACAGCAATGAAGAATGACTTTGGAGAGCTTCAGGCCAAAGGTTACCAAACCTCTCTTCCAGACACCAGCATCACCAGTGTCCTTGACCAGTGTGGACTGAATCCTCACTACCTAACTCAAACTCGTCTAGGAGATGGCACATTATTTGCACTGACCCACCTGGGTGACAGTCTGGGCATCACTGAGGACCCCCAGCACATACAAGTGGCAGCTTGCTGAGTGACCCCAGCAGGTGCCTGCTCTGCTGCTCTCCTCTCCTGCACCAGCTTCACTCCCTGCAGAGCCTGGAGGCCAGTGAGACTGAGGCATCAGAAGCAGAGGCTTAGGGGTCCCTGTGCTGCCCACAGACAGCCAGTGCAGGCACATTGGTGTGCACACAGACAGGCCAGAGGCTTCCTGGAGAAGCACACACCAGTCCTCTGCACTGGCATGTAGTCACACACTCTGAGAGATTCCTTGGGATGAGGACAGGGAGCTCAGCAAGGCCCTCCTGTTGTAGCAGGATGGGAAGTCCTGTGTGCATTTCCTGCCACCCCATTTTTCCCCCCTCATGGTTGCTCCTCTCATGCTTGTCAAAACTTGGTCTTTGTTTCAGCCACCTGGGTATCCACTTTGGCTTTCTGTTTGTCCCTGAGTGTGAAGCAAGGATTGCATTGGGAGGTTTTTCTTCTCTTGGTAAAACATGGACAACTGTGAATATCTTTCTGGCCAGTTACTCCAAGGGCTACAGTACCACAAAGGGTATTCAACACATTAGGGCCTGAAGCAGCAGGGAGAGTGGCAGGGGAAGGGCAGTCTCTGTATCTTGGCATATCCTTCTGCAAAACTGGTGACATTATCCTAGCATCAACACACCTGCAGATCAAAGTTTCCATTTTCTACTCATTCTGGCCATGGCTGAGCTTCTCGGGGCCCATCCTTCATTAACACAGAAAAAACTCCCCTCCTCACCCTTACAGAAACCAAAACATCTCAGCCTCAGCTGCTGGCTCCATGCCCACTTGTTCCTGGGGCTCCCCATGCTGGAGCAGACACACCCTGGGACACACATGCACACACACACAGAGCTCAGGCTCAGTTCTATTCACAACACAAGAGTTTTGGAAAGTTTCTCTAAAGGAGAAGGCGGACAAATTTCAGTATCTTCCTATGCCTGCTTCTGCCTGCAGTCAGAGAGCTGTAAATCCCACTGACTTTAATGCACAGTACCTCTCCAAGCAAGAGCCACGTGTATCCAGGGAGATGTAGGGCTGTCAGTGCTCTGGAAAGGTGCAGAGCCACACACAGCAGCTCTGGATGGTCAGCCTGGCTTCCAGCTGCTGCTCTTGGCTTGCTGCTGCCACTGGCAAGTGGTTTGGTTTTTTCAGCATCACAGCACGCTGCCATTTTCTGCCATGGAGACAGTGAAATATTCTTGAAACAGCAGAAATAAGATACTGACTTCACCATGTAGCAGCAAAACTGGATCTAGAGTCATATGATCATAGAGACCATAGACTGCACCAAAGATTCCCTCCAAACAGCAGAGCAAGAATCTTTTTGTTTAGCTACTGAGCTGCTCATAACCATTTTTTTAGCAATACTACAGATTGCAGTTAAGTGGTTTTTGCTTGTGTCTGTGGCACTAATCTCAGTCTTTGTCCCGCTCCAGTTAATAGGCTGCATTATTGGCAGACAAGGCAGTAAGATAAATGAAATCAGGCAGATGTCAGGAGCGCAGATCAAGATTGCTAATGCCACAGAAGGCTCCGCAGAACGACAAGTTACAATCACAGGATCCCCTGCAAACATCAGCTTAGCACAGTACCTCATTAATGCAAGGTAAGTTGGCTTTGTAAGTGATCATGCTTCTGCGAGATTGCTCTGTCTGCTCTCCAGCAAATGTCTGTCCTGGGTAGATCCAGAAAGTTGCTTTGCAGTGTCCATTTTGCATAGTATTACTCAATTCCTAATGGTTTGTAAAGCCTGTATCATTAGAACCTGGGTTTGCTGTTGGCTGACATGAAAAGGAGCTTAATCCGGTGCAATTCCAGCTACATGTTGAATGAAAAAGCTGCAAAATCTGAATATTCATATTAGCATCCACCTAAAATATCAGTGGATAAATTAAATTAAATGAAAATCATAAATTGTTTAGAGGAAAAACACTTTTAACAGACCCATTTTACTATCCTGAATGGCAAATATAGTGAAACAGATTGCAAAATAGATTTAATTTACCAAGTGGAAATTGCCATTCAGAGTTGATAAACTGACATTAGGTTGCTGAAGAGGCACAGGATTTACTTCTTCAGAAACAGCACCACAAATCTGTAAGAAGCATTCCCTAATGAGACAGGGTGAGACTATCTGCTTTTCCACTTCCTGGTCCCAGAATTAATGAAAGCACTGGCTGTTTACCTAAGCCATGGTGATGGCTTAGGTCTCTTAACAGTTTTTATATGATTATTTAGAAGAATATTAAAATTGATCCCACTTTTATTTGCAATTATGTAGAGAAGAAAGTGCAATGGATATAGTGCTGTCTCATAGATCTCCTTGTAAATGCTGGACTGAAGCAACATATGGTGGGGGAGGGGAATAGCTATGTATTTTATGGCTTTTTTTATTTTATTTTATTTTTTTTTCCCCCACAAAATTACTGTGATATGAATCAAGTTTTGTGTTTAACTATGTTTGCTGTTAAGGTAGTACAAAGTATGTGATTTATGTGGGAGCTGCAGTCACAGCAGGTCTGTGGCTTCCTGTGGTCCAGCCTCCTCTCCATCCCAGTTTTGTAGAGCACCAGTGCGATCGTTGGAGTGGAGGAATGGGATGTTTGTGCAGCTCTGTGTTACAGCAGACAAAAACACTGCTTTTCATAATTTAGCCTGAAAGCAGCTTCCTAGGGAAAGATACATGTAGGGGTGGCACTGTGAAAACTGAGATAAACCATTTCCAGAATCTTAAAACAACCTACAGCTCTTTTGATTTATATTCTTTGTAGCAAATATAAGTCACTTCCGTAAGCCCTGTAATCAAATAAAAATGTGTTCCCTCCTTTAACCCTTAAGGATATGTTCTTCTCTTGGTGTTCAGGGATTCCCCACACATCGAGACGAGAATAGACCCCTTCATTTTTAGTTGCACAAACACCATATGGCATGCATCTGGATCTCGGAAGATAACAATTTAGGATCTTGAAGACAGCTAAAGCATGCAAATAAAATAATGTACTTATTAATGGAGTTGCAGTGAGCTGCTCACCAGAGACAGAAACTCTAGTGAACAAAACTGTTTTGACTCATTTTAGAAAAATCTGTGAACTCTCACACTTCTGTTGATCACTGTTTAATGGTTCTTGTGGTGGAATGGGATCTATATGAGGTCTTTTAACATACTTTCGCAAAGAAGAAAACTCCTCAGCAGTCACATACCACGGATCTCTATCTATACCCTGTGAAACCAGAAACAAAGTATTCTGTTCCTGTTAAATTTCTAGATAGAAGTCATATGTTACCATCATCTACAATAAACCATCATATATTACTATGTACCATGTGTTGGAACTGTATTTAGATGAAGTGACTTCATTTGTAAATGAAGACTCCTAAAGTAATGTGTACTAAATTAAGCTGTAAGGTAACATAGGCAATTAAGGTGGCTTTTTCATTTTAAGAAGTGACACTGTTCCAGACCTGTCCTTTCACATGAGACATTGCTGTCCAGCCAGGTGCCACCACAGCAGCAGTGTGAGTTCAGTCGCACTGGAGGAGGGCTGAGCAGCTGAGAGGCAGGCGGGAGCTTTGCTCTAGTGAGGTTTAGGGGCTGGGGCAGGACAGAGGTGCAGAGCCAGGCTGCTGCTGCCACTGCCTCTGTGTGCTGGGAGCCACCTCCTAAACCTGCCACAGGTGATCCTGTCTCTTTTAAAGACAGTGGCATAAAAACAGCTTTGGGAAGAGACGAATACAGCACCCAGACTGCCCAAAGTGTGATCTGCTATGTGAAAATAATAATTACAAGAAATAACAGCTATATAAGCATTCAGCATAAGGTAGATCTTTTCCTCCCCTGCAAGATCTATTGTTTGTGGGAATTGGTTTCCAGGGCCAGTATTTCTGCATAAACCCATGTCTTTCAGCAACATAAGGTGTAAAAAACTTATCTATCCACAGTATTCCTGAAACATATTGTGTGTGTCTTTAAGCTATCCTCCAACCAAAGTTGCTGTCTATAGAATAATTTATCAGCTTGCTTTAAGACTTTTATTACAATCTGGTGTTGGATATGTACATAGTATATTCTAAATTATAGATATATAAATATATTCATATCTTATCAAGACAGAGATTTAAATCTTATAAAGTATTGGTTTGATTCTGTATTGCTTACCCGAGCGCTGGCCTCTGTATGAATAGAGCGTGTCTTAGCTTGCTTGCAGTTGAAATGTCTTTTTTTCTGTAAAGCCTTCTGTCTCTTTAACTGTCTCCACTGTAGTAACAAGATTTTCATTACCCAATTCCATCTTCTTGCTTTTAAGATTGAACTGCAGTTTAGTTTTTCTGTGTACTATCTGACTTTGGATTATAAATGAATTTAGTCAGCAGCACTTGCTCCTTGTTGAAGGGCAGTTTCCTGAAGGTATTTTTTTATGAGAAGTTGATTCACAGACCCAACAGGACTGCCAAAGCCACACCTGCTCTCTTCTCTTGACCAGTTTCAGGTAATGCAGGATGTGGCTTTCAGTGTATATATTCAGAAGGTGCAGGCCTGCAGAGGGACAGTGTAAAATTGTCACTGTGAAATTCTCTATGAAGGCTGCCTCACCCTCCTCATCCCCTTTCATATGCAACGTTGTTGCATCCACAGTTGGTTTGGGAAATTGCTGCTGGTATGGGAGAGATGATAGCTAACCTGATGAACTCCCACCTTGTGAGTTGTCACAAGTAGTAGATGGGAAAGAGGGCAAATTACTGCTACAGTCATCCCTATGAGAGTAAGCCAGAGACAGGGAGTTGGAATGGCTGCTACCAACACCAGCTTTTTGGCCTGTGGGATCTGTTCTCCCTGCTAGTGCAGGAAAAAGCTTAGGATCAAACACCCCCCCCTCTATATCAGTAAGGATTTTTTTGGTTTTTTAAAATGCACAGTAGACATATTTGGAGTCACTGAAACACAGTCATGCAGTACCTTTCTATGGACCTCCATCCCAGAATAATACTGAGTAATACTAAAAATCCAACTGTATAAACTGAGTTTTTCAAAACATACTAAGGTATCACATGTAGTTCCTACACCCCCAAGTTGAGGATATACAGTGGAGTTGGAGTCTCTGATTGACATAAGCCCCTCTGTGTGAGTAGATGGCAAGCAGCACAAGGGTGCACTTCTCTCTGCTTAGAAAAGCTGAGTTTCTCATCCATGGGGACATATAAAGACTTCAGGGTAGGAAAACCAAAACTTCACCTCCCTCAAAGGAGTCTGAATTTCATACACTCTCCCTCCTTCCCTCCCAGCTCCTCACAGATGTGCTCCTTCCAGCTTCCCAGCAAAAGCTGCTGAGGTGTTTATGCTCCAAGAGCCCTCTTTTCTTTGTGGAGGAGAGAGGAGCTCGGTGCTCAAACATCTCCCTCTCTCCTCCACACTCCTCTCCCTATCTCAGACCCACTTCAGGTGTCCTTCAGACTCACCATCAGCAGCAGTGCTTTGGGAAGCTCTAGTCCAGTGTCCCCATTGCCTGTGTATCCTCTAGATCCTTGCATCCTTGCATGAGGCAGGCAGCATGCTGGTCATTGCCTTTCTCTGCAGTGGATGGCCATGGGGCTGTTACCCTCAAAACTGTTTTTAAGGTGAGAAAAAGAGAAGCCTTTCCAAGCCCTGTGTGGGGTGACCATGTTTCCTTCCCAGCCTGCAGCATGGCTACAGCTGCTCTTCGAGCCTGCTTGCCCAGCTCCCAACAGGGACCAGCACAAACCCTGTGCTGGGAAGCCTTCCTGAGCCTGATGGGGTGTGGGAAGAAAGCACCAAGTCCTCTGCATGGTCAGCCAGCAGCTTGCTGGCACTTCACTCTGGAAGCAAGGAGCTGCTACAGCTCCTCTGCTCACCTCAGGAGAAAGCCCAGGAGCCTGACAAGTTAGTAATTGCCAAAAAGACAACCCCAAACTGACTAGGAATACACATGCAATCACAGCTAGCAAAGATTTTCTAACCCATAGTCCTATTTCTATGCTAGGCTGCCATAGCTCCCAGCTGGTCACCTGCAAAAAGCATCCTGAAATTAGTATTTGTGTCATTTGCCAACCGAAAAGCCAGTGCACAAGCTGCAACAGGCAAATGGGCAAAGGGAGGATTTATCTAGGCAAACATTTTGGCATACGAAGACAACAGTGTGTCCTTTGAATTATTGTATTTTAATGTCTGAAAATGTACAGAAAAGCAGAAGTATATGGGCCAAACTCACCTTGCCTGCTGATGGGTGGAGTTAGATTAAAGTGAGGGTGGTTTGATTCCTACACCCTCCCAAGAGCCCATCACTGCCCTGGGCTTGGAGGTCAGGTCAGTCTGGAAGTTCCTGGTGCTGGTGGGGTCTGTCTGAGGATGTGTCTGTTGTATCCATGTGGTACCTTGTGTGTCAGCTGGAAAGCTTTGTCATGTTCACTGTAACCACTGTGCAGGCTCAGGAAGGATAGCACTGCTGTGCAAGCTGGGGTGTTCTTCAGTGTTCCTTTTTACTAATTTACTTATGATTAGATTGCATAAATATTTTGTTGTGATATTAAAAAAAAAAGTCTGGGGAAAGTATAAAGTGAAGTGAACACACTGGCTAATCTGGTTTGTTTTATATGAAAAATGCACATTGACCTCACAGTGAATGAAATGAAAAACTAACTCACTTAAAAAACAAAAAACCAAAACAACCAAAACTTTATGCCTTAAATGGAAGCAGCAAATTGTTGCTCAGTCTCCTCTCATCCTAGCAAAATGATTAAGTGTACTATTTGTGTCACAAAACTGACAAATTGAAAAAAATTACCAAAACCCCCCGCGTCCCCCTTTCAAAAATACCCTAATTTTGAAAAGCAAAATTCACCATACCAGTGCTGGGGAGTAAACTTCATAATTATTTTAAGTTTTCTTTTAAGTTTCATTTTTCCATCTTTTTACCATTACCTGCATTCCTTAGATTTCTTTTTTTCATATGTAAAATGAACTAGCAACACCCCCATACCCTCTTCCTTTTTCTTTTTTTTCTGTTCTGAAAGAACTTTAGTCTCAGTAATGTTTTCCCATCAAATCATGGAAAACCCTTTTGTTATTTCTCTTCTTTAACACATAACATGTTCCTCCTTTGACCCTCATTTTCCCTTTTTTTCTCTCTCTCCCCCTTCTCCCTCCCACTTGTCTGTCCCCCTCGTCCACCGATCTAATCCTGGATCCTGCCCTTTCGTGGTTGCTCTCCTTCCCTCCCTCCTTCCCTCCCTCCTCCTCCTCCTCCTCCTTCTCCCGGCCCCACCGCCCTGGCTGAACCCTCCCAACCTGTTTGTTCCTCTTCCTCTCTTCGTTTGCAGCTTAGAGATGGCTAAAGTCAGCACCCAGACCGCTTCCGTCACGACCCCTGTTGACCTCAACATGAACCTCTCTCAGTCTGCCACCCCTACCTCCACCCCCACCTCCATGGCCGTGCTGGCGGCCGCCTCCGCCGCCTCCGTCAGTACCCCCCCTCCCCTACCAACTCTGCCAACCACCCACTATGCCGTTCCTGTCTCCAGTCTGCTTGGCATGAAAACTGTCCCACTCCTGGCACTAAATGCCGCGGCCGCCGCGGGGGCCACGGGGAGTTTGTCCGCTTACACTGCCAAAATTCCTTCGACGAGCGGGGTTAAGAAATCTGACCGCCAGAAGTTTGCTCCATATTGAAGGGATGAGACACAATGCAAGCTTTGCCAGCTCTGCCAAGAGTCTGTGGTAGATCCTAGTTATCAAGGAAACAATACGGCATCTTTTATTTTCTGTTCGATTGCTAGTGTTAACTGTTGCCGACTCAAGTCGTCTTCTGCTCTCCATAACACCTAACACCAGGCACCACCTTCCAACTAGTTCCAACAGCCAGCAGGTGCCAGCCCGGGCTCCTTCTCCCCGGATACTGTCCCAGGGCTGGCCCTCAGCAGCCCCACGGCAAGGCAGGGCTGCCCCCAGCCCACCAAGGGGGGAGATACAGTGAGGAGAACGGAAAAAATGTAAATGAGGCAAAACGGTGACAGCCAGGTCCTGCTCTGGCAATGCTGCCCGGCATAAAAATACACCTAGATCCATGTGCAGGGATCCCTCCAACTGCAGAACAATTCCTCATGGCAAAGTGCCATCTCTGATGCATTTTTTCTATTGCTAGCATGTCAAATCCGGCATTTTTCAGCGCCCCTGCAATACCCTGTGAAGTGCTGCTGGCCCCCCTCAGTCATTCTGCTGCTCCTAAAAGGCCTGGAGATCCCCATTCCCCATCCCAAAATCCTCCTACAAGCAGGAGATGGCAGTTAGGAGGTACCAACTTCAGGTACTTGTGCATACAACAAATGAAGCTTTCTGGTCTGAGAAAAACTGCTAAATTAAAATGACTGCAGAACAGTAAGGAAAAAATACCAGGTACCGGTGCCTTTCCACATGATTCTTTTAAAGGGTGCAACCATTTTTCTCCACTTTGGAAAAACGTAATTTTAAGAACTCTGCTTTAGGGAGGGAGGGAGAGAAAGAGAGAGGAAGCTCCTCCTTTTGCACTCAGATGTTTTACATACACCAACACAGTTCTTATTCCTGTAAGTACTTCAGAGCAAGTACAAGCCAGATGCCGTCACTATCTCGTATATCCTCTCATGTATGTTTTATTCAGCCAAAATGACCATTTTTCATTAGATTTCACTACAAAATACATCCCTGTTTAACTCCCCACTAATCATGCAGTCAGGTTGTATGGTAATCATGAAAAACATGTAGCATTTTAGAGGTCATTCAAAGGCTACTGCCTGGACAGATCCCATCCCTTTACCAAGCACTTCAGGATGCTCAGATTAACTAAAACGAGACAGGTAATGGCAGCCAAAGACAAGAGAGCTGGGGAATGGAGTGGCTGGTTGCCAGCTGTTGGAACTAGTTCTTACTGCATTTTATGTTTGTCCATCCACCTTCTTTTTAATTTCTGTTGCATAACTCAGTAATGCAATATTGTTTTCCTCACCACTTCCAAAACCAGAATCCCATTAGCCCGCCATGTTCATCCACTCTGCACTCCTTGGACACAAAGCTTTAACAATTGAACTGTATTCAGTGCATTTTAATATAAACTAAAACACAATGCAAATGCAATACTTTTTAAAACATGGTATTTCAAAGTGTGTTATTGTATAGGGCTAAGTACTATCTCAGTATTTTGTGTCATTTCTGTATTCTGTGGGCTTTTCTTCACCTTAGCACATTTGCACTAAGTTTTGTCACTGTAACCATTTGTAGAACTGCCATTGTTACAATTTGCACTTTTCCAAATGGGGTTTTTGGTTGGTTTTGTTGGGGTTTTTTTTGGTTTTGTGGGTTTTTTTTGTTCGTTTGTGGCTTCCTTTCTTTTTTTTTTTTTTTCTTTTTTTTTTCTGGTTGCATATACTGAAGGAAAAACTGGGAATAATGTCAAGGTACCACAGCTATTTAAAAGCTCTAGAAAACTGCTGTAAAATTGTTCTGGATTATTGTAACTGTTTCAATAATTGACATTTAAGGAAAAAAAAAATCCACCAACCTCTGTGTGACAAAAATTGCCTGCACTGAAATGCTGTTCTATGCTGGTTGTACTCAAGTGGTATTTTTTTAATAGTGAGAAGATTTTTTTTCTTTTTTTGCTTTTTTTTTCCTTTTCTTTTCCTCATTTTTGTTCCTACATTTTAGGCTGTCTTCAGAAGTTACTGGCCTGGGGGCTCTGTAATGTATCTCATCATGCCCTAGTGCATTAGCCACCAGACAGGACTTTTCCAAAGCCCCATGAGACAATGCTTTCTATGGACTAATCTACAGAGGAGTTTCTGCCATTTCTAATTTTCTTATTATTCTGAGACATCAAAAGAAAACACTTCCTTTACTCTTTAAGCAACTGTGCTTCCTAACTCTTGTGTTGCTTTCATTACTGTTCCAGTTTTAACACTATTGTGGCTCATAACATAAAGCAGAGACAAGTTATTTTCGGGGGTTGATTTTCATTGATGTTCATGCTTTGGCTAATCTGTATAAAAGCATGGGCCGTTAGTGTTCTAAACCACTGTATTATTCAGCTAGAGACTCAACAGTAAGTTAAATGAGACGTTTTTATAAATAAATTTTTTTCCTGATTAAAAAACAAACAAAAAAAAGACGTGGTAGCTTTGTGCATACAACTGTTGTGTTGTTTAAACTTTGTTCTTTGTAACCGAGTTGCTAACTTGTCATTGAAGAAGCACTATTTTATGGATTGTCAAACTAAGGTCACAGACAAATTGCTTGTTTTCAATTAATGATTAAAGGTTTCATATCATCACGCTTAAGGTCCCAGTGCTCATTGGGAAACAGTGTAACATCTGTGCAAGACTGGCAACCTTAGTAAGGATGTTAGCCCATTGTCAGGCATGATGAGTCTCTTCAGGACTAGAGGGAGCCAGATTGTGCAATTAGTAGAGTCAGCAGTATTTCTACAAATCTTGATTTGGTTTTTAACAAAGCTGCTCATTGAGAACTTCTCACGCTGCATAGAAAAGACAAATTTGGCTTCATGTTACAAGCAGCCACCGATTTGTATCTCTGGTCTTTTCCCAGACTGAGCTATAGATCAGATACTGGGGAAGGGAAAACAGGAATGAAAGAATGAACTTGGATGCTGAGTACTGTATTACTGAGGCCCTTTGTAACACATTCCCAGCAGCACTGCCCAGTGGTGTGGCTTCCAGCCTGCACCTTCCACCCTGCCAGGAGCCAGTTCAGGCCCTGGAGGGCACGGCAATGTGCAGTAGGACGGGGAATGGAGAGCTGAGCAGGCCCAGGAGCTGTCTCCTGCTGCCCTGAAACTGCTCCAAGCTGCTCAAACCCTCCTTTGGATCTGCTGAAGCGCTGCAGTCACAGCCCTGAGGTTCTCTCTTCACACACAAGCAAAAGGAAGGGGCTGGCCCCGAGCTGTTGCTGCCTTACAGCCCCACTGGCTGCGCTCTGGCCCCCTCTGCTCTTAGGGCACTGGCAGTGCTGTCACAGGTACTGCTCTGGCCTCATGGGAAAGCAGCTTTGCTGGCAGCATCCCTAATGACACAGGACTGTACAACCTCCATCTCCCTACTCTGTTAAAGGTCCCTACCTGCTTTCAGGGATTGAGCTTGGGGTCCTGCTTCCCCTCCCTGCCCCTCTGAGCTTACACGACGATTTATCCTCCGTGGTCTCCAGGGTACAGAGCGCTCTCCAGTGCCTGGAATCGGGGCACGACCAGGACATGCATGCAGACTGGGAGACCTGTAGAAATCAACAGCTTCCTCAACACAGATGCAGCCACACAACACCCCCTGATGATGAAGGGTGCCAAGGGGCACCCTTACAGAACAGCTCACTGCACCCCAGCGCCCACGAGGCCTTACCCAATGTTGACAATTAGCTATTCCAACTCTTAGAAAAACTATAGGCTGTAATAATAATTTGATAAAGTTCTCTGTTATTATTATTTAAAATACATTTTTATTACTTGAAATGTATTTAACTTCTCATTCTTTAAAGGAGAGCTGAAGCTGCTTTCACAGCAGAGACCTCCATAAGTCTTCATTTCTTCAACAGCAAAAACTATTTCTATGGCTAGCCTGGCTACTGTAAATGAAAAAAAAATATATATTATTGCAGCTCAACACTAAGTAGGTCAAAGCTTTGCTCTCCCAATAAAGCTGCCAGGCAAAGGGCAGCAGCAGCTCTGGGGTGTGTAGTATCTTTCACATGAATAATTCACATGTGGCTTGCAGAAGTGAAAGATTTAAACAAACTAGTGCAGGGGCACGTTTGTGTGAGGAATGAGGAGAGGCAAAATACAAACATATATACTAAGAAGGAAGTATTCTGAGAGGGTTTTTGCAAAAATACAGGCAGAAATGTGATAAAATCTAAGCTTGTTTTAATTTCATTAGTTTAGTTGGAAAATATTTCTGAATGGCAAGAAAAAGCTCCTAATATCTTCAATATACAAAACAGACAAACAAAAGACAAGATGGTAAAGAAAAAAGGGGGAAAAAATGGGTAATGAATAATAGTAAGAAAAGTAGAAATAGAAAAGTAAACCACTCATGCCCAAAGGTAGATAAGAGGAAGCATGTATTCGCTGTGAAAAGGTCACTGCCCACACAAATGTGAGTTTCCAGATGAAAGACAGCACAAATTCGGCTTTTGCGTCATCAAATTGGAATTAGGTTTCTGGAAACATCTCCAATGAATTCAAGCAGCTCTGTTGTGTTTCTCAAGTGAAAAAACACTGACAGCGTGAATGCTAGCTGAAACCAGAAGGAAAATAAACAAAGTTAGTCTTCTGCTAATACAGAGTGGTTTCTGTTCTCAGGCATCACCAGAGGGCATCTGTGGGCCCCAAGGTTCACATTTGGGCCAGTCAAGCTCGTCGGCAGCAGCAGAATCTCAGTGGTGCCATGAACAGAGGCACCTGGGAAGTGCCTCAGCCTCAGAGGGCTGCACAGGCAAGGTGCTGTTTGTCAGGTTTCACAAGACAGTCTGAATCCGGTTTCTTCCACAGCCTTAACACCAGCTGAATGCATTTCAGCAGTTTGTATTCTTGGGACAGGACCTTCCCCTTCTGGAGTGAGTGTCATGATTATCTAAAAGTCACAGTGCTCACTGATCCAGGGGCTCAGCAGTGGCACAGCTTCTGCAGGGAGCACTGTCATTGTCAGGCTGCTCAGCTGGGTGACACCAAGGGTGTGTTTATTAAAGGACAGCATCCAAAGGAGGGATTTGAACAGAGATCTCTCCTATCCCCTGTAACTTCTGCAGCCACCAATGGTGCAAGGTATTAGTGGCTCCACTGTATTTTTGGAAGAAAGACCTGGTTTAGATGTCTACACAAAGGAACTGCTCACATTTGTTTTCCCAGCTATCGGGCCAGGATAATTCTAATGAACTGATGAACAGAAGATCAAATGAAGGCAGACCTTGAAAAACTGCTTCACACCTGAAATTTCCATCTCTTGGCCCAAGCCACGCTTTCTAGGGGTGTAAGTACACACTGCCCTTCTTGGCACTAGTGTACTTAATTCCTTGGTTCCAGGAATCCAGGTTGATTAAATCAGTTTCTGCATCAGAGCATGTGTCCTGTCCCCCTACAGACTGGCATGTGTCTTAGGACATGCCATGGACATGACATTAAAGAGTCAAAGTAATTTGATGGTACCTAACAAAAGGGAATTTCTGTACCATTACATACTCACACTGTGGTTTCTAATGACACCTGCTACATGATTCATGCAGGCTGAATGTCTGATTTTCTAGAGCAACCTTTATGGATTATAAGAAAAGAAATATTTTTAAGTGCTGAAAATATTTTAGTAATATGGCTTTTCTCATTTCTAGCTCAGTGTTTTTAAGATGATAAAATGCAGAGAATAATTATAGTGGAATGTAATAAGCAAAATTTGTCTCTCTTCAAATTGAATTTATTGGCAGGGGGCTTGGCCAAAGCTGATGTCAATGTTCTTTTCAATCAGTATTTACAATTTGAAGCAAATTTTAAAATTAAATGCTGCAGTGGAGGAAAAACAACCATGTTAGCAAATGAGAACATTGGTCTGCTGTTATTTGGGTTTGTTGGTTTTGTATGGTCACTTTTGGGCTCCTCTGTACCAAATACAGACCTTGTTCCACATTTAAGCCATGCCAGCAGCAGCTTATTTCATCAGGGCAGGAGAGAAGTTAGCACAGCAGTCACCCTGGGCACTGCCTGCCTTGCCAGGGGAGAGCTCACTACCAGCAGCAGCTGCAGCAATGGTGAGCTGCTCCCTGGAACTCCATTTCAAACATGCAGACACACACATTCTGCTCCTGGAAGTCACTTACCAGCTCCAAAACCACTGAGCTGGGGAATCTCAACTACTTTTTGGTGGCATGAAATTACACAATTCCTAAGTTTGGACAAGTTTCCATTATTATATGAATAAATAAGGATTACAAATGTCTTCCTCCCTAACTCCGATATTTCAGTTTTCTGCAAGTCCTGAAGATCGGAGAATTAAAATAGTCTTCCTAATTCCAATTAAAATTTCATTTTTAATAGTGGTTATTGACATAGTTAGTTATTTGGATTACTTTCATCTTTATTGTTAAGAAACAGAATTTAAGGAAGTTAAGAAGTGAGAAAGAAATTAAGTACACATTTTTAAAAACAATTATTTCCTCTGGTTAATAAGCTATCTGAATAGCTCATCAGAAGTATATAAAATTGTTTTCTAAAACTGAAGACATATTTACGATTACAAATTAATTATCCCTATGTTTTTCTAAGATACAAGAGATTATTTCCCTTAATAAATTAGCCTGACTACTAAATGAGGTTAGGATACTCCTCTCTTATAGCCATGCTACTTTCATTGCTAAAAAGCAGGATGATTTCTTGCCCTCTTGACATGACAGCACATGCACGTCAGCGGTCACAAGGGACAAAGACACTCCCATTATCTTCACAAAGCTCTCTAAAAGCTTTGTTTCAAATGCTGAAGAAAGGTACTGTTGTATGCAGTAAGGTGTAAAAAACTTGAATAAAACTGTTTGGAGATCTGTGAGATTCCTCCAAGGAAGGGAGCACCAACTCCTAAACAAAACGCAACCAAGAGGAATGGATGCTGTCACTTCCCCAGCAATGCACACACCCCCTGGCTGGTCCATG